CGGCGTAGCGTCGCAAACGAGCATTTGCTCTGGAGCAAATTTTTAAACCACCTCCCTGAGGTGGATCAAATTTGGTCCGGTATAAGCTCTTTAGTGGAGCTACGCCGGAGCAAATGTGCACGTGTGAATGCTCGACTGGATTTATTTCGGAGCTGCGTCGGACCAAACGTTGCCGTGTGAACGGGGCTATTGACACTTGCAACGCTCTCCTCCTATTTTTCATTGAAAAAAATCAACAAAATCCACCATTACCTGGGCTCCTCTCTATCACTCCCCCCCTCTGACCACCCTTTCCCCTGCCAACTGTTATCCTCTTTTGAACTCCCCCATCCCTCATTAATCTCAGATCTCATCATCAAATCCAAGACTTCCTCCTGTCAGCTAGATCCCCTCCCCACAGTTCTGGTCAAATCTTGCTTGCCCTCTCTGCTTCCATTCATTTCAGCCATTATTCATTCCTCCCTGTCCTCTGGAATTGTTCCTAACCCCTTCAAAATCGCAGCTGTCACCCCAATCCTGAAAAACCCCGGTTCAGATCCCAATGACTTCAATAACCTACGCCCCATCTCTCACCTTCCTTTCATCTAAAAAATTCTTGAAAAAATTGTTGCCTTTCAGCTCCATTCCCACCTCCCCTATAATAGTCTTTATGAACAATTCCAGTCCGGCTTCCGTTCCCGTCACAGTACAGAAACAGCTCTCATAAAAATCACAAATGATCTCTTCATGGCAGCAGACTCTGGCTTAATCTCCATCCTCATCCTCCTTGACCTGAGTGCAGCTTTCGACACCATTTCGCACTCCATCCTCCTCAATAGACTCTCCACCATAGGCATCACCCCCCCCCCCCCCCAAGTTGGTTCCATTCATATCTCACTGGCCGCTCTCAGTTCATCCAACTCAATTCCTTCACTTCACAATCCCTCCCCGTCACTTCTGGTGTTCCCCAGGGTTCTGTCCTGGATCCCCTCCTTCTCATTATTTTCCGCTCTGCAATATTTTTCGCAAATTTGGTATTCACTTTCACTGCTTCGCGGATGACACCCAGCTCTACCTCTCCAGCAAACCCGACGCCTCCCTCCCACCCTCCTCACTTTCTGACTGTCTCTCAGAAATCAAATCTTGGTTCACCCATAACTTCCTCAAGTTAAACAGCAATAAAACAGAACTCCTCCTCGTCGGTACTAAATCCACACTATCCAAAGCAGACAATTTTTTTCTCACAATTGATAATGCCACTGTATCTCCTTCCCCTCAGGTCAAGAGCTTGGGTGTCATCCTCGACAGCTCACTGTCTTTCCACTCCCACATCAATAACATTACCCGGTCTGCATATTTCCACCTCCGTAACATCAACCGTCTCCGTCCCTCTCTCACTCCTCACAGTACTGCTATCCTTGTTCACAGCCTCGTCACCTCCCGCATCGACTACTGCAATTCACTTCTTTTCGGCGTCCATCTCAAATTTCTCCATAAACTTCAACTTGTTCAGAATTCAGCATCACGGATCATTACGAGAACCCCCTCCTTCCATCACATCACCCCCATCCTCCAACAGCTCCACTGGCTCACTGTTAACCATAGAATCAATTTCAAAATACTTCTTTACACATTCAAAGCCATCCATAACATTGCCCCCCCCCCCCTATCTATCAGATCTTCTTCAGATCTCCATTCCTTCTCGCTCACTCAGGTCTTCATCCTCTCTCCACCTCTCTATACCCTCTGCCCGTCTCAGTACAATGGGGTGCAGAGCCTTTAGCCGCTCTGCCCCCAAACTCTGGAACTCACTTCCACCCAATATTCGTGACATTGATTCTCTTCCCACATTCAAAACCCAGCTCAAAACCCACCTATCAGACTTGCTTATTCCACTTAAATTTATCTCTTTTATTTATAATCTTATCTGTGGTTTTATTGTTTGCTCTTGCCTGTAAAGTGTCCTTGAGTGTTGTGAAAGGCGCTTACAAATAAAATGTATTATTATTATTATTTATTGTCCTGGTACCAAGTGCACGTATGGACACGCTTAGGCTCCAACATTGAGTTCAGTTATGGACATTCCGTGAGCAGCACGGAAGTGCAACAAAAGAACACCAATCGGGTTCAAATAAGGGGGACGATTCTACTCAATCACCCCCTTCCAGGTCTCACTATTATTACCCACATGACCGTTGATGTCCTCCAACGTAACAAGCGGGTCCCCAGTGGGAGCGCTTTCCAGCAACCTTTACAAGGACTTCAAGACCTCCAAGAAGAGTTGGTGCTTGGAATGGCTGTTTGGTGCATAGGCACAAACAACAGCCAGTAGTTGTCCCCAAAACCCGTATTCATAGGGTGGTTACCCTGTCGTCCACCGGAATGAACTCCAACATACAGGCATTGAACCGGGGGAGTCAGTAAGTATGGACACACCTGCCTGTTGCCTCCCATCGTAGGCAATGCCAGACTGGAAGATATTCTGACCCTTTTCAAAAAGATTGGTGCTGGAGGCCGACTACATCTATTTGAGACCTCTCGACCTTGCACACCAACTCATACTGTTTCCCTGCCAGAGAGTTGACATTCCACATCCCTAGAGCTAGCTTCTGTAGCTGGGAATCAAATCGACCACGTCCCAGCTCCCTTTGCCCTTCCCACTGGTGGTGAGCCCATGGGAAGGGGAACCCACGTTACCTTTTCAGGCTGTGCCCAGCCGGCCCCCCATAGGTGCAAGCCTGGCCACCAGGTGGTCTTCATCAAGCCCTGTCTCCAAAGGGAGGACCTGGTGAGCTGTATCCAGGCAAGGAAATGCATATCCCATATCTATTATTCATCACTAGGGGTCGTTTGAGCCGTCCTTTCTCTGGTCTTGTGCCGAGGACATGTCTGCCATGGGTGGCGCTGCCTGGGGCATAAAGCTCAAGGCATTGTAGCTCCTCGCACACACACAAACCCCTCATCCATGATAAGGTGGGAGAACAAAAAAAATACTGCAGTTTAATTACTGATTTGTTCTTTTTTTTCCTTTCCTAATTTACACTTAATCAGTGTATTCTCATAATCAGTGTGTCTTGTGTTCTCATGAGCACTTTGAAAAGGTAATTTATGCCTCCATCAGATCTTGGCTGGATTACTGTAATGCACTTTACTTTGGAGTCAGCCAATCCTCCGTTAAGCGTCTCCAGTTGGTCCAGAATGCTGCTGCTCGCCTCTTGACTGATACTCGTAAGGGTGAGCACCTCACTCCTACTCTGGCATCCCTTCACTGGCTCCCTATACAATTTAGAGTTTTTTTTCAGATCCTATTATTTGTTTTTAAATCTTTAAATGGCCTCGCTCCACCTGACCTCTCCTTCACTCACCTGAACTCCTCCGCCCCCACACATCTGCCCGGTGCCTCAGGTCTGCCGACCAGACATTATTAGAGGTACCAAGAACTAAGCAGAGGCTCAGAGGGGACTGAGCCTTTTCCGTTGCTGGTCCCTCTCTTTGGAATGGCCTCTCACTGAACATTTGGCCAGCCCCCTCGCTGCCCATCTTTAAAACTCTTCTCAAAACTCATTTGTATTGTTTGGCTTTTGACTCAGCATGACTCATACCTGATCTTAGTTTTACTGTTTTTGTGCTTTCTACTTTCCTTGGTATTAATTTATTGTTTTAAGATAAGATATGATAAGAAAGCCTGTATTTGTCTCACAATGGAGAAATTCGCAATTTACATCAGCAACATTTTGAAGAGAAGAAAGTAGAAAAACGTGAAGCATTTGTATTGTTTATTGTTGTTCATATGATATTTGCTCCGTGTACAGCACTTTGTATAGAGCGGTGGTTGTTTTAAAGTGCTCTATAATCACAGTTGAGTTGAGTGTCGGCTTACTGTAATTCTTTGTGTCTGTTGTCTTAATTTATGCTTACTTTAGGATCCAATGTCTACATTCGGCGGGAGTTGATATGCTGGGGCGACAGTGTCAAACTTCGCTATGGCAAAGGACCTGAAGACTGCCCTTTTCTGTGGGCTCACATGAAGAAATACACTGAAATAACCGCCAAATATTTTCATGGGGTCAGACTGGATAACTGCCACTCTACACCATTACATGTTGCAGAGGTAAGCTTATCTTGTAGTATTCGACGTGACCGGAGACATTTAAATCATAAAATATGGAAAAGCTGTTGTTCTATTTAGTTAGATGCTCATTTGATATTTGATCCAATTTAGCTCACAAAAAATTGATATACAATTTATAAAAAGAAAAGTGAGCTCTCCAAAACTGCTGTATACTGTTTACAAGTCTCTACTTTTCTTTACAAGTCCCTTCTTTTCTGCCTGTCTGTAATGTAATGTTTTGTCCAGGCCATGCTTGATGCAGCAAGAGTGGTCAGGCCCAATTTGTATTTGATAGCCGAATTGTTTACAGGCAGCGAAATCATTGACAATGTATTCGTGAATCGGCTGGGAATTAGCAGCCTTGTAAGAGGTACTTGTTCAAAAAACTAATATTGTGGTGTTTCTCTTCCCTTTTCCCTGTGTTTTTTGTGCTTTCACTTTCCTTCCATTCTGTTTTCTTGGACTGCATGAATTAATGTGGTGTGACTCTTCCTAATCTGTTTGTTGTCACTAACTGGCTTCATCCCTTCAACAATTGTTTTATGAATTCATTCCTACACTTCCTTTTTGCCTACCTTAATTACTTTATGACTTCTTGGACATTGATGTGTTGCTTCGTGGTGGTGGTTGACAAACAAGTTCATGCTCGATGTGGCTAGAGCAGTGCGCCCTAACCTGTATGTGGTGGCTGAACTCTTCACTGGCAGTGAGGAACTGGATAACATCTTCGTTACAGATCTAGGGATTACATCACTCATACGAGGTACAGTATTGTATTTAATTGTAAGTTACTGAAGTATTTAGCTATGACAGATGTTTAACGATCAACATGTAAATGAAATGACTATTTTCAGCATTCACGTAGAATGGGAACTCATCCGAGTGCCAATTGCAAGGTACATTTAGATGGACAATCATTCACACACAGCAATGGACAATTTAGTTCACAGTCAACCTAACACACATATTTTTGGAATATGGGAGGAAGCCCAGAGAACATGAGAACTCCACCCAAGACAGTAGAACCTCTGAACTGTGAGACAAATGCGATAAGAAGTAAATATGGAAGAACCATTTATCCATTTTGTAATACCCTGATACATTGCTGAAGATGGAGAGTCAAAGTTTTCTGACAACCAGTGAAAATGGAAAATTCATAGGAAGAATGGGTAAGTACATCGATGAACTTATTTACAATTTAAACAAACCTATGTGACACCACGGGAGTGGCTGTGATGAAATACTGGCAAGGTAATTGTTAGCAGCTAGGCCATGATTGCTATGTCACGCTCAAGCAACATCAATTTAAGTAAGCAAGAGTTACTGAAGATTAATTTATTGCTGGGACTGTAAAACTGCTACTACTATACCACCACCAAATCACTAAATAAAAAGTCCTTGTCAAGTGTAGTATTCACATTGCATTCAATTAACCATTAAGATACTAACTAAACATTAACTACTTTATTGTGTGACGCCATTGTAGCTGGAAAAAAACTTAGAGGGATACTTATTGATCAAATTTCAGCAATTATTTTTTTGTGTGTGTATTTTGTGTATCATGAATTTGACAACATTATTTTGTCACTTTTTGTCAACTGAGATTGACAACACGTGCTCAGGGGCCAGGTAACAACCAATCACGGCTCAATCATGTAACACTTCCAAGCTGAGCTCCTGAGATGTCATTTTCAGTCAACAAGTGGCAAAATGCATTTAATTGTACATGAAGATGGCATCAAATCATCAAATTTACTCAAGACAAAATCTTAACCTTTTACTGCTGAAAATGGCAAAATTAATAAAGTATCCCTCTAGCTAAAAAGTACAGTGAGCAATGCGACTGAGCACGACTGAAATACAAAATTGCAAAGAAATTCGCACACCTGGCGATACTGACCACTGATTCATCGCTACACAAAAACTGCTACTCTTGTTTTTGCTCAGAGGGGCTACATATTATCATTTAATTGAACCACAAACAAACAAACATTGCGTGTTAGTCAAGGACGAAGTGGATTGGTAGCTAAATTATCATAACAGAGTGTAAATGAGTGAGAATAAAGGACAGCATGTCACTTTTTAGTTACAGGTAAATATGAAACTATGAATATAATAAAGTATTATTGTAAAACAATGTATATTGTGTTCGTATATGTATTGGTGTAATTTTTGTTTGCGAAACATGTTTTATTTATTGATTCATCTTCACATGTTGCAAAATGTCGTTTTTGATTGGCCATCTGCAATGTTGCAATGCCATCAATGTGTGATTCAAATCCCAGCAAAATTATTTGCCAGCATTCAGCCAAACATATAAACCCGTCACATAGTAATGCGCACTCTGTGACAGTTTCTCCCACGCTGTCGCGTTGCTCAGTGTGCAATGGATTTAGGCAATCCTTTTTGTGATGTCATTAAAGCCACAAGGTTTTCCTTCTCTGTCCTGTGTTTTTTTTACCCTTAATATTTTAGAGGCCATGTCAGCTGGTGATAGCCACGAAGAGGGCAGATTGGTCTATCGTTATGGTGGGGAACCAGTTGGAGCGTTTGTTCAGCCAAGTCTTCGCCCACTGATGCCCTGCATTGCACATGCCATGTTCCTTGATGTAACCCATGACAACGAATGTCCTATACAGGTGTGTTATCAATGGAATATAATTCCATAACTTGTGGTTAAAAAACTAACAACCAAATAATATTTACCAGGGTATTATTTGTTGTTGTTTTCCCCATAAAGTACCATGAAGAGATTCTTAGTACTAGCACATGAAATCATAAAACATTCTTTGTTTCTGTTTTGCAGCTGCGTTCAGCCCTGGACTCTCTTTCGAGTTCTGCTATGGTCTCAATGGCCTGCTGTGCTACTGGCTCTACCCGAGGATATGATGAATTAGTACCACATCAAGTAATGGACACACACGCACACACACACACACACACACACACACACACACACACACACACACACACACACACACACACACACACACACACACGTGCTTCAAGTACATGTTGCAATCCGTCTCATGCCACTAAAACGGATGTGACGACAAACCAATATGAATCCATCTTGATAAATTCCAGCATAAATTTTAAACGGGCCTGCCACCTTTTGGCTCGTCATTTGTAACTTACATTTGTGAAGGATTTATTTCATGTAAGGCTTAGTTTTTGAAACAATTGGCCTCAACAAAACAAAGTCTTATAATGCAAAGCTAGCATGATTTCAGGAACAACTTGTGTGGACCCATAATATCGAAAGAACAGTGTGTGATACAGTGTCACCAGCGAGCGCTCTGACCATCCTACAAACACAAGTCATTTGAAGGCTGAATGAGTGAGGCTTTAATGACGTACACTCACACAGCGCATGGTGGCAGAGAAACATTTCACAACAACTATGGAGTGTTCGCTCGCACAGCCATCAGGGAATTGCAACTTCTGTTTTAAATGAGCATGTTTGACTTGGAGATAGACAAAGTCAATATTACTGGCGCTTATTTGCTCGCCCCGGGCATCAACTGTGCTTTGCACACCCTACTGCGTCATAGGGATTGTATTTTGTTTTTCATCAGTCGAAATGGGCTTACTTGTTTGAAAGTTGACGGCGATGATTGCCACTATCCGCTTTTATTTCTATCATGATGAATCTGCACATTGAAGACGAACACTCAAGTTCCGTTGACATTGCCAGCAAGGGGAAATGACCCCCGAAGGCTCCTCTCAGACAGCTCCCGTCCGCTGTCCCGTCCAGCCTGGAGCCTACCCGATTCCATTATGTTGTCAATGGAACCTCTTTGTTGGCCAAGACATAACGCTGAATCCAATGTACAAAATAAACGGCAGTAAATAACACCCCCATGGCGGCATTCCATGGGTTGTATGTAATAAAATAAATGTCCCACTGCCCCTGCGGATAATGGTCAGCGGATAATGGTAGCAGTTGACTTTTGTTGTGTCTCTCACACAAAACATTGCCATTTCCCAGCATGCAAGACAAGTGTGGATGTGGCATGCCATTCAGTGATCAAAAGTACAGTCAAGCTCAAAATTATTCCTCATCTTGGGGTATGAATAATTTTGGTTATGACTGTATATTGATGTAATTTTGAAATAACAGGAGAGAATTTGATCAGAGATTTGCAGACTTCAGAACGCACAGAGACACTCTGCAAATTTTTACCGACCCCTTCTACTTTGATATGCAAGATGCCCCTCCTGTGCTTCAAATACAGCGTATTGACCTAAAAGCCAAATTCAGGGAAATGAGTGAAAGAGCATAAAAATTTGGGCAATTTTGGAGAAAAGCGACCCCCAGGTTTCCTGAGCTTTCTCGATCATTCAAGTGGATCACGTGGTGCCTTCTTGGGATCATCTATTTGTGTCAAAAGATTTTGCCACCTCCACATCCAAAGTCCAAGTACATATCCAGACTTACTGATGAACATTTTCAACCCATACTGAAGGTCTCAACTGTTTCCTCCCTCAAGCCAAATGTGGCTCTGCTATTTGTGAGGAATTGCTGGCAGGTCTCCGGAAGCAAGAAGTTGGTCAAGAATGTAAAACTTTTTTTTGACACTATGGACGTCTTCCCTTGGAGGGCCATTATGACAGTGAAACCACAAAAATATTTAACCGTCTCATTGCATTCTCACTTGTACACAACAAATTAATGGATTGGTAGTTTTGAAATCAGTTAAGTCAACTACAACAGTTTGTCAGTTATTGTTCAAGTGAGTGTAAATGGGCTAACACAATTATTGCAAAATCTCAACTTTATTTATTGCACATGAGAATTTCACATTTCTGTACAGATTTTAGCAAGGTCATGCAAGTTGACGCACATGATTTTCTTTCAGAGGACCACATAAAATGACGTAGCAAGCCGGATCTGGATCCCGGGACTTGAGTTTGACACTTGTGATCTAATCTTTTTTTCATCACTTTAGTTTTGCTCACAAACTACAGTTTGCTGCTATATGCTATGTGGGGTTAAGAAATAAAAACTCGCTGTATGACGTTCATTATGTCTTCTTATTAGTTGAATGAGGTTTGAGGTTTCTTTTTTTTTCCTTACAAACAATGGTCTTTTTTGATTAAAGAAAAAACTCTTACCTGGCTGACAGTTTCGGCTGTCACTTCAGCCTTTGTTGGAGCTGTCACTGCTTCCTTGTGATGTCACATTATGCCAGGTAAGAGTTTTTTACTTCAATTAAAAAAAAGACCATTGTCTGGAAAAAAAGAAACCTTAAACCCAATTGAGAAATAAAAACTGTTGATTATCTATATAAATATTCTATTATATATATATATACTGTGTACAGTGAAACTCCTCTACAACGAAATCATGTTTGCAGCAAGAATTTTTTCACAACAGGGGGTTTACACTGCAGCAAATTTGATCTCAGATGTAAGCACACACACACCCACACACACAAATATATGTGTACACCCACACACAAACGTATGTGTCCTCTATTTTTATTCCAATAGTGCATAAGTATGAGCACACACTTATTTGACACTCCATATTGTCAGTGTAGAAAGAAAAAAAGGGAAAGAAATTAAGAAATTTACGATCAGCATTCACTTTCACTTACATCAATTTCTTGGATATTGTCTTTGATTTTGCTTGCTCTGTCTTTCATTTTGATCACTTTTACCCTCTCTTCCAGCATCAGAACTCTTGTCTTAGCTGCTTGACAATCCAAAGATCTCTCAATTGTTCTATTGTCGCAGTTTTATCTGCTTATAAATGACGGCCATTTAATTGCTTTGGGGGGAAAAATGCAAAATTCAAGTTTTTTAAAATTAATTGGATGATGACTCGGTCGTCCATATTTTCTTCTGCCAAAAATAGGCATCAGCCTCAAAAAAAAAAAATAGTAATGTTACAACTTTATTTCATAATGGAATAAAGGTATTTTTTTTCTCCAAATTCGGAACAGTCACAACAAAAAGTTTAATCTTTGCCTTATCAGACCAAAGAATTTTGACTCTTATACAATACATCTTTTTTTGTTGATACGGCGCTCTTACAACAGCTGCAGCTGTTACAAAGTGCTTTGCAGAACAGTTAACATAAAATAACAAAATAATATAACAAGATATGGACAGTCATCCAATCTTAACCACTTTTCCTGCATACTTTTTTTTTTATTTGAAAGTGGAGCGAAATCAAAGTGCCCTTTCACCAGTGGATCAGAGACATCATGCTCAAAATGTGTTGTCTGCTAAAAGCTAAGTTTGAAAGTAAACAAGAAGAAAAAAAGAGATTGGTTCACTTTTCCTGTCCCATTTCAATTCCAAGCGGTGACTCTCAGTTCCAAATATGCATACGCGCTCCGTGCTGGCGCTCCTCTTTTCTCATCTTTGACTCCACAAGCCATCCATACAGCCGCACCAACGCAGACTTTTCAACAGCGCCGACATCTCCGCTGAAAATTTCATGGTCACACTCCGGGCAGGCCACTGTGAACGTGTTACTAAGGACAAAAAAAACCCCCACAAATGCAGATCTATAAGGATTTAATATTGTGGTCAGGTATTATTTCAAAAGAGAAATAGCAGACAATTATTATGCTTTCACAAAGCAAGATATCAACCTGGGTAGAAAGAGTGCTGAGGCAGATTGATTAGGATTTGGGGGATTGTGGCAACTTAGAACATCTTTTGATAACTCCTTTTGTGGGTTCATTCAACAATGTGGGATGTATCAATAACAACAAACGCAGAGGACAAAGCAGAATTGTAAATAAAAACATATAATAAATGTGAGCAATGATGATACAGGCTACTTTTCTTCACAAATAACGACGAAGCAGTATTATAATGTATTTTCTGCCATTTTTCACTTCCCGCACTATAATCGAACACCGTTGCACTTTGCATTGAAATTTATTGAAGTGTGTGCGTGTGTGTGTGTGCGTGCGTGCGTGCGTGCGTGCGTGCGTGCGTGCGTGTGTGTAGATTTCTGTTGTTAAAGAGGAGCGTTTTTACCCCAAGTGGAACCCTTCAGCCTCCCCGACCTCCGCCAGCGAGGTTGGACCGCAGACTGGCATCATTGCTGGGAAACTCGCACTCAATAAGATGCATCAAGAACTGGCTGCTCAGGGGTTCATACAGGTATCCTTTGGTCATCAATTTTCTTGAAATAAATAACACATTTTAAATAGTAACAAATATTTGTTTGTCACCTTTGCCTGTTTAAAGGCAAGGTGCAGCAGGCAAACTGTTTTGTTGTTTTGCTTTGTTGTCCTAAATGTCGTAGCCAATTTCAATCTGTCGCCTCGCCAGGTATATGTGGACCAGGTTGATGAAGATATTGTTGCCATTACTCGCCACTGTCCCAGCACCCATCAGTCAGTGGTGGCAGTGTGTAGAACAGCTTTCAAGAACCCCAAAACACACCAGTACAGCACTGATATACCACCAATGTTCATACCAGGTAGAACAATTAGACAGAATGTTTGTTTTGTTTTTTTTTGCCCTTGTTGATAGATACACTTGTCAGTCTTTTGTGTTATGAACAAAATTTTTAAAAAGTCATACACTATATTGACCTAAGCCTTTAATTTTATTTTAGCAATTTCCAGGGTTGTAATAATTGTGGCTTTTTTTTCATATCATAGTTTTGTTTTTATTCACACGTTTGTTTTTGTGTATCGTTGTACCCCTAATGCAGTCTCTCTCGCTCTCTCACTATCTACACTAGCTAGCTAGCTAGCTATCGATCTCATCTCTCTCCCTCACTCCCCAGTCTGCCCCTGTTCGACTTTGATAAATTATTCTATTTTTTTAAATTTATTTATTTTCTTATTGTCACGCACTGATCCTGTTCATCAACTTTTCTCCAGGGAAAATTGAAGAGGTGGTATTGGAAGCAAGGACAGTGGAAAGACATACTGAGAGTTTCAAAAAGGATGACAACTACATCAATGGGATGCCTGAATACACAGTCGAGATTAAGGAGCATATTCCAGTAAATTTAAGAAAAAACATACAGCAAAATTGTGTGCATGTCAGGGTTTATGTGTTAACAAATATTTGTATGCATTTACAGTTACAGGAGAGCTCAGTGGTGAATGAAGCTGGTGTGACATCTAAAGGTCGATCAGAGTTTGTACAGGAAATCAGCTTTCGGAATCTGACACCGGGAAGTGTCATTGCCTTCAGGTACTATAGTACTCATTACCTACACAAAATGCATCTTTCCAATTTATTCTAGATTCCAAACTCTTTACATATTGAACTCATACAGTTGTTTTTTTTTCAAAGTAATAGTAATCCAACATGACATACCAGATGAATCACTGTTTTTGAGAGAAATTACAGTATATTACTACATTGCAAATAATTTATTAATAGGGGTAAATAGTCACAAATCCAACAGATCTTCATTGTACTCCACTCACACAGACATTTATAGGCCACATTAAGTCCATTGTACGCTATCTGAACCAATCAGGACCCACGAATGAAATGAAAGTAATTTGTGTTGAACGACAATAAATTTGCATAGCTTGAGACACATCTTTTGTCCATATGGTACATCGCTAGCTTAGATCCAGTGTACAGTATGTGTGCTGTGAGGTGAATTCTTGTGGGAAAATGTTTCTGAAATCAGCAAAAATAAATCACAGGCTAATGTAATGTACGTCAGTGAGTCATGGGGTCACTCATGACTGTCGAAATCTATTGCACTAATGGCATTCTTGGCACAGGGAGCGGGGGCATCAGGCGAGTGTGACAGTAGCGACAGGATCTTTTATTCTAATTCATTTTATTTGGGATCATTTGTTGAATTGTATTTTTGTATACCCATTCCTCGTGTGAGCAATGAGAGCAGCCGTGAGAGGCACTTGACCCATCGAGAGAAAGAGCGCTCCACTGTTGCCAGGTGTAATTTGAAAATATTTATTTGTTGACAGTGTTTATCATCTCAGCAAACCTAATTGTTATTTATAGATGCATACTTATCACTGTCAAACAGTTTACCCTAAAAATGGTGGGATGGGTGGATTATGAGAGTAATCGATGGAATAATCGATACATTAATCAATTGTAAAAAGATTAGTTTGTGACAGCCCGACTGAAAATGGATCGTAATATTAGGTATATTAGGTATATACATTTGCTTTTGTCGACTTTTAACAATCCTTTAACATCAGCATAGTGAGCGATCGCCCGACAAGTTAACACTTTTTCTGGGTGATTCACATTTACGCAAAACTATCTGAACGCCTCATGGCCCGAGGGGCAAATGACGAGGACGCTGCATAGACAAATATCTATTCATCTATCTACAACATAGACACATACGATAGAGGTCCCTCTTAACCAATGGAATGACAGGAAGATGCTAGGTAATAGCCAATGGCAGAGCAGCTGTAAGTATGTTGCGTTCAGGAAATTCGGAGCTGCAAATAGTCGGCCATACTGTATTATTACCTTTTGTATCTTGAAATTTATGTTGTAGCAAGAGGCAATATTTTCCAGTTGAGGCGTTTCGTAACATGAAAATTTCGTATGAAGAGACATTCCTAAGTAGGGGTACCACTGTATAATGTGCAATGTTGGCAATGCAGTATAAAAATGTTTTACCTTTATTTATGTTTTTTTTACCCAGAGAAAAACGTACCACCTTAATGGCAGTAATGGAGTTTGTGGAAGCAATAGCATCTAACATAGACAATAGGGAATTCACGGTTGGGATTTTTTTGGATCTGAAGAAAGCTTTTGATACAATAGATCATATTATATTATTGAATAAATTAGAGAGATATGGTATCAGAGGCATAGCATATAAATGGATT